CTGTGTCCACTCAAGTACTCCCATGTGTTTTGACCTGAATTCCAGATCCCTTGCCGACATGGGAACCTCCACATGTGGCTTGCTAGCGGGGGACCCTTCACCCATCATCTGCTGGCCAGTTCAAGTTTCAAGTCAAACAGTTACAGGGGTTCTGGACTGGAATAACCCTGAAGATGGCAACTGCAGTGTTTGCCAAATCACTGGCAAATCTTAACAATCAATGCTGCTTGTATCAAACTCTAGCTGCAAAAATCAAATAATAAGAATTTACATGCAGTTAAACAAAGTGTTATGAAACTGTTGTTAGTTTTATGTACAGAGAAAAGTAAGCCGTGAACATTATAATGAAACTTTCCAAGTGATATGTGAAAATGGCATTTAGATGAAGTGAAACAGTGTTAAAGACCGTCTGTATTCGCTAAGTACAAAACAAGATAATTCCATTTCAGTTCATAGAATAGGTTAGAATAATGTATTTAATTAAATGTGTATTATAGCTATCTTCTTCTTCTTTCTCTATATTCTCTTTTACCCATAGGGGTCGAGGTTTATTTATTCATTTAATTGAACTGTAAGGACTCCATGGTGAGTGATCAGCCCGACGCTAGACATCTACCTATACAAACGTCCATGCCTTGAGTGGGACTCGAACCCACGGTCACAGCGGTCAAGCGCACAAGGATCATGCCTCAGACCGCGTGACTACTGCGGCTAGAGTATTATAGATATCTAGTAACTAAATTTTATAAATGAGGAAGCAAGGCCAAGATTTCACAACTGTTTCATACACAACCAAGCATCAGACTAAATAAATCCAATAAGCAAGTTGCCAAGTACTTGTATCAACATACTTTAATGCTCACAGAATATTATTGTTACAAATAAATTTTCTACCATTATGACAAAGATTCAAACACATATTCAATATTATCATGTAAATGTAACTGCTCAAAATATGAAAATGCAATGTGTGTTGCATTGATAAATTTGACTTTACAGCCAAAGTTACTTCAGTGCATGTTGCTGGTGAAAACATGATTCATGCGTACAGTAGACACCATTTCATGAATCACTCATATTATAATGTGGGCCTTAATAATTTCAGTTATGAATTTAAAGTACAAAAGAACTTTTTGATGAGTGTATTCATAGATTTATATGTGCACATATTTTTAAATTCTACCATCAGCTATATCTCTTGTGGAAAATTATCATTTCAGCTGGCCTGATGTTTCAAAATCAAGGGTTAATATTCCCAAGGATGCTTTTCCACAGATTGCAAGAGTAGTGTGTTTTTACACTCTCTGCCAACACCTTTCAATCAAATATGTTGCATGCCTCCCAACATAGATTAAATGGCTACCTATTTAAATTTCCACAAGCCTAAAGGTGCCTATGAAGGCCAACCAATCTGAACCACCACACAGTGGCTCTCAGTCCCCTTTTGTCAACACAAGTTAGACCCAATATCAACAAAAAAAAAAGGAAGTAACATACCATACTTTTATTCTAAAACTTGTGAAATGAAGAAAGGTGTCTTGCAACATGTCCACATATATCACAAATGCAATACCGAGAGAACAGTGTTGGAAAATATACATATATCACAAATGCAATACTGAGAGAAGAGTGTTGGAATATAATTCATCAGCACTGTTAATGTATAACATGTGACTCTTCCATTCCGAGAGAACAGTGTTGGAAAATAATTCATCAGCACTGTTAATGTATAACATGTGACTCTTCCATTAACTACTTGTATCAAATGACAGGTAGAAGTGTAGGAACTCAAAATACACTATGGACAAAGTCAAGTACGAAAGACAATACTTTTTTTTCTTCTAAGGTAACTCTCATGATGTGTCAAAAAGTGTTAATAACAGAAATGTCCATATCATAACCATTTTAATATCATCAGACTGTAATCACATTTTCTCCATCCAAACTCTGTTTTAACATGAGGTCAATGACATTTTAAGGAAGGCTGCTGCCAAAAGTCAGCAATTAACAACAGACTGGAGAAATAAGTAAAAGTGTAATTTTCACATTCATGGTTATTAACCTCATTTTTCAATTAAAATTCAACAAGCTCCATAAAGCCCAATAAATTTTATGAAAGGAAATGAAAATTAAGCTAGATTTTACACATTACTACACATAACTGAGAATCTGATGGTTTATTTTCTACATGTTACTACAGACTCCAAACTGGGAACCTTTCAGTTCCATAATCTCACAACACACATAACTCACAAATGACTATTAATCAGATTTCTTGCTTCATAAAACATAAATAATGTCACAACAATATCAGTTATAAAAAGGATTGTACGTAATCCAATGTGCTTTAGTCTGTTGCTGGGCTTTCTGATGGGATGTGAACAAGGATTTAAATACATCAGTGGCTTCTGGGTCACTGGCCACACTATATGAACTTCTCGTCTTCTTGAATACTGGATCTTCAATGTCACTCCCCATTTGTCTCTTAGTGGGTAAGGAAGATTTCATACCTGTAATGAAAGAAAAATAACATTTAGTTTCTCAGGAAAATACAATGTAAATCTGCATGTGTTTAACTCAAGCTCTAAAAAGCAATAAGCAAACTCTTCAACCAATTTCCTTCTAAATAACCCTTCACAAGCTGGTTTATAACATACATGTGAAACACAGTCTATTCAGTCTTATAGACAATTTACCAAAGTTTTAGAGGAATGTAACCACCTACAAGAATGCATGGTGTTACTTTGTAGATGATGTGAATTCACAATGATTAATTACATTATTGCCACTTTCCAAAATCATCCAATATAATATCAAGTACACTTTAAACTAACAACTACATAAAACTCTAGAAATGTAGTTAGATGCCATCAACATACAATTCAGTTTATTGTCACGCTTCAGCAACAACTTTGGATGTGATTTCTCATTTTGTAATTTTGATTTCTGTCTTATTTCCTCTCCACTAACAAACGAACTGGTTTCTTTTTCACAATCATGGACTCTGCTTGACAGATCTGATGACTTATTTGTAATGTTCTGACTATTATTCGATGTTTCTGTTGATGAAGTTGTTTTATTACCTTGCCCTTCGTATTGTGATCTTTCAGCTTTTAAGTGGGCCTGGCAAGCCTCAAGCCTTGTGCTATTCACTTCCAAATCCTCAGGCGCTGGATTCAGAATTATAATGTCATCCTCTGAGAACGTTTGCGGCACTGTATTAAAATGTAAAATATTAAAAAAATTAGCTCTCTGCGATATATAAAAATATTTACATTCGGTAGGTAAAACCAAGTCTTAATACACCACCCCCAAAATGATAATTAAAACTGCCGCCAAGAAAACAAAACTTTACATTAATATGTAGAAGCAAAATATAAAGTTGTTCCCTTACCTTGAATA